TTTTTTTTTTTTTTTTTTTTTTTCCAAAAAAGGACGGCGTGTAAGCTGCTGGAGAAACGGGAATGTTGAGACGGCGTTAACGTTAGAAACATCGGAAATAATTAAGTTATTTTTGATACATAAGACCAAATGAAACATATCCAACGTGAGATGGATATTTGTGAAAAACAGATGCTGGTAGTTTTTGGAATCAACAGAATTAAACCTGAATGAGAGATGTGGATGAAAGATTCAAGATCAAGGCTCCACTAAGAGACGAAAGCAAGAAAACGTGTTTGCCGGTACGTATCTATTTTGATCCACTTTAAAGTCAGAATGGTCAATGGTCAATGGTCAAAATGTGGGACTGACTAATAATGGAAGAAAAAAAAATTTCGAGGGGCTGCCCGATAAGGCTAATTATTTTGGAACTTGGAAATGGAAATGCCCCAGGCCATGCCCATGGGCTTTTGAAGATTAAGATTGGAGATAACCAATCTCACTTTTCTCACATTTTCAACTCCCAAGTTCACAACAAAAATACCTAAGACGCTGGTTCTCCGACAAGCCTTCCACCGCCCACGATCGAGGGCATTCCGGGCAGTTTCGGCTCGCCCTTCTTTCACGCTCTGCGACGCCCATCTCAATTCTTGAATTACTCGGGCTGTCTTTGTTTTCTTTTGCGTTATCTGTCGACACCGACTCTTCACGATGCCTCACCAAGTCTTGCCGCCGCTAATGGTGGCCAAATCCGGCGATGCCCCTCCCCCACCTTCACAACAAGATATATCGGCCATCCTCAACACCATCTTCACCGCTAAGACTTCTGCTGCTTCCATCGATGCCTGCTACGGTCTTTGCGAACTCCTTCTCAATACTGTCGGTTTCCGCGGTCTACACGAATATGGCATAATAGCCGAACTCAAGAAGGCTGCCTCCGACAAGAAGAGTGGCCTACGACGAGAGGGCGCTCAGAACCTTCTTGGCGCCCTCTTCGAAAAATTCCCACCCCGACAACAATCGAGCGAAGTTGTTTTCTTAATTCAAGATGGCGGTCTGATATCGGTTGCCCTGGATGCCTTAGCCGACAAAGGCACAGTAGTCCGCGATGCCGCGCAATATGGCCTCGATGCGCTCTTTGGCTTGCTGAGCCCCGAGGCCATGGTTGTTGGCTTGTTACCCGCTCTTATCGCATACCTGTCGAAGAAAACCGGAAAGTGGCAGGGTACAGTCGGTGCCTTAAAATTGATGCAGAAGATGGCCGACAAAGCGAAACTGGAAATTGGCAGTACGAAAGAGCAGGCTCAGGAGAAGGACATTCTCAGAGAAGCGATGGGAGCAAAACTCGCTAGTTTAATCCCTATAGTCGAAGGAAATATGCACGATCTCAAGTCCGAAGTCGAGAAACAAGCGCTTTTGACGATGCAATCGTTGACTACCCTGCTGTCCAACGACGACGTTGCTCCTAGGATTCCTCTCCTTGTCGACACCATGCATCACCCTTCTACGCAGACTCTGCAGAAGGCAATCCACGCACTTTCTCAGACGACCTTTGTTGCTGTGGTGACATCTCCCGTCCTCGCTCTTCTCACACCCTTCCTGGAGAGAACTCTGAACAACCCCTCGACCGCTCAAGAAGTACTTCGCCAGACAGTCGTCATCACCGAAAACCTGACTAAGCTCGTTCACGACCCTATCGAAGCACGTACGTTCTTACCTAAGCTTCAGCCTGGTGTGAAAAAAGTCGTCGAGCGCGCTCCGTTGCCCGAAGTCCGAGAACTAGCCACTAGGGCCTTGGATGTTATGGACAAGGCTATGGGAGATGATAATGCGGTGGTCGAGAAATGCTCTGTGGATGACGTCGCCAAGGTTCTTGACTCCGAGATTAAGAAGAGTGGAGGATTATCTGGCGACCTAGAATTCTACAAACTTGCACGCCCTTACATCTGCGAGATGGTGGCCGAGGATGCCAATCACCGCCAAGTTGATCGAATCCATGCTAGAGTTGCGCCGTACCTAAAGGATTTGATGCACCAGCCTGGTGCTAGTGATGCGGTTGCCTCCAGCATCCACAAGTTCTACGTTTCTGAGGATCACCGCAAGTATGGCGTGCCAGAGAAAGAGGACGACGGCGAGACCGAAATTGTCAACGCCGATTTCTCGCTGGCCTATGGCGGTATGCTGCTTTTGTCCCATACCAATCTTCGCTTGTTGAAGGGACACAGATACGGTCTTTGTGGTCGTAACGGTGCTGGCAAATCTACCCTCATGAAGAGTATCGCTGGCGGAAAGCTGGAAGGCTTCCCGCCTCAGGATGTCCTTCGTACTTGCTATGTCGAGCACAACCAAGGAGAGGATGCTGACATAAGCATTCTTGATTTCATGGTCAAAGATCCTACGATTGCCTCGGAGGGTAGAGAGAGAATCTCTGAAGTTCTTGCTGAGTTCGGATTTACGGCAGGTCCTGAAGGTAGACAAGCTCAAAAGGTCGGTTCTCTTTCTGGAGGTTGGAAAATGAAGCTCGCTCTTGCTCGAGCTATGTTGCAAAAAGCCGACGTTCTGTTGCTCGACGAACCTACCAATCATTTGGATGTTGCCAACATTGCCTGGTTAGAAAACTACTTGAAGACCCACACAGACATCACCAGTTTGATTGTTTCCCACGACTCCGGTTTTCTTGATAACGTAACGACCGATATCTACCATTACGAGCCTGGGAAGAAACTTGGACATTTCAAGGGCAACCTCTCAGATTTCGTCAAGGTCCGCCCAGAAGCCAAGGCTTACTACACCCTATCCGCCTCCAATGTTCAGTTCAAGTTCCCGCCTCCCGGTATTCTCACCGGTGTCAAGTCGCAAACCAGAGCTATCATTCGTATGACTGGGGTTTCTTACCAGTATCCCAAGGCGCCTAAACCCTCGCTCAGCGACGTCTCTTGCCAATTGTCTCTTTCATCCCGTGTTGCCGTAATCGGACCCAATGGTGCTGGAAAGTCAACCTTGATCAAATTGTTGACAGGCGAGGTTATTCCAACAAGCGGAAAGGTTGAGAAGCATCCCAACTTGCGAATTGGTTACATCAAGCAGCACGCTCTGGAGCACGTAGAGATGCATCTTGAGAAAACGCCCAACCAATATCTGCAATGGCGGTACGCCAACGGAGACGACCGAGAAGTGTTCTTGAAGCAAACCCGTATCCTTTCTGACAAAGACAAGGAGCAGATGGAGAAACGAATCAACCTGAATGACGGAAAGGGCGAGCGACAGGTCGAAGCCCTCGTGGGTCGTCAGAAGTATAAGAAGACATTCCAATATGAAGTGTAAGTTGGCTGATGATACCCTACCTGAAAACGCCCATGCTAACAATGTGTAGAAAATGGAGAGCTTGGCTACCGAAGTACAATTCGCAGGTGTCTCGTGAGACCCTTATCGAGTGGGGTTTCGATAAGCTTGTGCAAGAATTCGACGACCACGAAGCGTCTCGGGAGGGTCTCGGATACCGAGAGCTTCAACCCACTGTTATCTCTAAGCACTTCGAGGATCTTGGCCTTGACCCCGAAATTGCTAACCACAATGAAATCGGCAGCTTGTCGGGAGGACAAAAGGTCAAGGTTGTCATCGCGGGTGCTATGTGGAATAATCCACATTTGCTTGTGCTTGACGAGCCTACTAATTTCTTGGACCGTGATTCCCTCGGTGGTCTCGCCGTAGCCATTCGCGACTTCAAGGGTGGTGTGGTCATGATTTCCCACAACGAAGAGTTTGTCGGCGCTCTTGCTACTGAACAGTGGCACATTAACGACGGAAAGATGGTCTTGAAGGGCAACGCTTCGATCGCCTTGGACCGCTTCGAGGACAGCAAGCCGAACAGCGGTCTCACTAGCGCCATCACAAGCGGAGTCAACAGCACAGCTGCCAGCAGTGCAGTGAGCAGTGCTGTCAACTCCGGCGTCGAAGATAACTCACCCCTGAAGTTCAAGGCCAAGAAGAAGAGGAAGAAGACCAAGAAGGAGCTGAAGGAGCAAGAAGTTCGCCGACGTCTCCGACATATCGAATGGCTCAACAGTCCAAAGGGTACTCCTCACCCCCCGGACACGGACGACGAAGAATAACGATGTCTCAGTCTTTTTTATTAGCCGGCATGATGCTTCACATGAGTTTGGCACGCATTTTGTTCAGGGCAGGTGGTGGTTTTCTAACCCTTTTTTCGGGCTTGGTTGTCGTAGATGATTAAGTTGTCCATAAAATTGGGGATGAATTGGAAATTGGCACCTTAAGCAACTGCATAATAGAGAGGTTTCATATACCTAGGCGTTAATCTAGACGGAAGGAATGGCATTATAGAACGTGGATACTTGGTATTCGCATGGCTCGTTCAGAGCTAGCAGTAGATGAATGAATTAGATTATACATGAACGATTGCACGTCCTACTGCTGGAGTGAATGTGTGCCGATATAGAATGCTATGCTACAGCAAGTGAGGTTGCCTTTTTTCCATTCGCGCGCTGTTCATATGACAGTGTGAAGGTTTAGCTACCCAGCCTATCAAAGGTGTCGCATCACCGCCTCTTTATAACTTGGCTAGATTTTTTAGAATTACAGCGAGCCTAGTCACATTACGAAGGAATAGTGTCGTCTTTTCGAATTCAAGGTTGAAGCTTGCTTTTTTATAAAAAGGCCGGAGACCATACTACGTCGTAATGTGTACATGCAGGTGTTTAGCGTCGACTGTTCGCCGTATTCAAATCACTCGGAAATGCAAATTGAGCACAGAAGTTGCAAGAGCAACTTCGCTTCAGATAGAATCGAAATAATAAATGCCCGAAATATGCGGGATTTCGGGATTTCAGGATTTCTGCGCATCGTTGGGGTCGACTAGGGAAACTGACTTCTATTTAGTAAGGAAGGAAGGAGCATGTGAAACTTTATTTACTAGTGTTCCGCGCCTTCCTTCCAACGCCCTGACTAGCGGCTGCCGCACCTGCGTGCCTGCCTGTCAATCGCATCTTCCCGGAAGATCAGCCCGCTTGGCTTAGTGGTAAAGCGCATCACTAGTACTGAAGTATTTCAATACTTCTATCACTAGTGTAATGATGAGATCACTGGTTCGATTCCAGTAGTGGGCAATCAATTTTTTTTCTCTGCGTTTCTTTCCTATAAGAAATATGTTTTATTTTTATGTATTTTTTCATTCTCATCTATGTTTTACTTCGTATTATAGAAGGGCTACTAGCAGCGCTAACAGAACTGAGGTGAGTTAACGCGACTACAGCCAATTGATAAGGGGTAGTAGGGTCTTTGTAAAAGATCAATCGATGAATTGATTATGCGAGCTTCGAATAGATTCACTATCATCTTATTGGATCTCTAAGCGATAGATATTGAGGCGGTCATCGTTCGAGTTCAATCCTAATGTCGTCGTTGATAACTGCCTACCTAGGACCCAGGTATTCAAAAATTTCCCAGGACGATTCCTCACTCCTCGTGTTGCGCAACCGGCTTTTCATTCATAGCCAATCTACGGATACATTTATATCCCCTAAATTTTCGCGCGGGAAGATTTGCTTCGAACTGTACGACCACAATAGTATAAGCGAATATATTCTAAACCTTCATGCTTGGGTCATTACTTACCATCTCGTCAATTTCCTCTAGCGTGCGACCTACGATGATGAATGTTAGAAATCGATGAGACGCTAGGGTTGGCCATCATTTGGCGTATTGTGGATATTCCAGCTTACCTTGAACTTCGGGCAGGAAAAAATACACCCATGCTGCTGCTATAACGGAGCTGGGGAACCAGATGTATCCGTATCTCGGTCCCCAGTTCAAAGAGTCAGGGTTGATAAAATCTAGAGTTCGATAAGTTTTTGAGTCTTCAAAAAAAAACACTGAATATTTCTGTAAGACCGCTTACACGGAGCAGTGAAAGTGGTGATCCAGGCAGCAAGAAATCCAGATGCTGCACCTAATCCGAAAGTGTAGCTTCGTAATCGCTGTGATGGAAGTTCGCCTCCACACAACCATGAATACGTTGCGACCATCCCCTATAGTTCATTATTAGTATTATCAAGATGCTTGCTTTTAGTCGCGTCATATAACACTCACGTTGTAACTCATCATATACAAACATGATAGAGCCACAAGTACTACACCTGTAGCTTTTGCAGCAGGATTCTTGTCGTAGACGATTGCGACGATCAACTGGAGGATACCACAAGTACTAAGACCTGTCATTAAAAGAACTCGGCGGCGACCGTAGCGCACTACAATCAACAGATTGATGACGATAGCAAGCAAACCGATTGCGCTAAGAACGCATCCCATCGCAAAAGGATTAGAAACCTTGGCCATGGTGAAGAAGTAGGCCTTGTACGCTGTTCAAAATATCAGCAAATCAAGAATTATTTGCGATGTAGATGATCTTACATATAATGAACATAGAGCCGGTAGAGGCCTGCAGCGTAACTCCGCAGACGGCAAGTATTGTACGTCGCCTATCTATCGGGTTCTTGAACATATCTAGAAGGCTGACTTGACTGCCCATTTCTCGCTCTATATCAATAGCTGCCTTTATTTCGGCAACTTCAATGTCGACTTGTGACCCAGCTGGCCTAAGCCATTCCAGGGATCTCTGCCCGTCTTCGATCCGGTCTTGCAAAATCAGCCAGCGCGGTGATTCGGGTATGAAAAGAAGTCCAACACTTAGAACAATCGGCACCATATAGATGAGTCCCAGCGGGATTAGGTAAGCCGATCGGTCGGATCGCGATGCCGTCGCCCAGTCTACAATCGTGCCGATGAGAGTGCCCTGAGAAACCAATAATGTTAGAACTTTTGGAGAGTAGTCGCCTAGGTCATCAGCTTACAAGGGAAGTGCAAAACTGAAAGGCGGTTAAGAAGAGTCCACGATACTTAGCTGGACTACTCTCTTGAATATACAGCTGAGAAAAGGTCATGAAGTATCCATTGGCCAGTCCGTTCAGTAGGCGTCCAATATAAAGAGCGTTTATATCTGTTGTAGTCATCATGATAATGTTAGAAACGACACAGCCTAGGCAAGCCATCCTTAAACAGGCTTTTCGGCCCAGCTTAGCGGCTATCAAGCCGGCGGTAGCGGAGCTAACGAAAGCGCCGAGTGTCATCAACGATGTGATCAGTTGCTGTCTCACAGTCGAGATATTCCATCCGATCGTTGTATCTGGGGCTGGATGTCCGTATATCTGTGTTACCAAGGTCAGCATACTTTGCTTCTAGGTATACGCCGTAGTATGGTATATTACTTAAGAATTAGCGGAGCGTACCTTGAGGAAACCAGGCATAGCTTGAAGGCCTCCTATTAATCCGAAGTCTATTCCATACTGAAAAGGTGACAGAACCATTAAGCCACATGCCGCAAAGCATCGCCAGTGGGCGCGCATAGTCTCATCATCTTTAATCCCCATATTTTTCTCTTCAAGGCGTAAGAAGATGGACGATCGCGAACGTACCAAGGGATAGTATGTAGACAGTAATCGATGTTGCAACTGTTTTAGATGCGCACCCGGTATGGTGCAGTATTTACGGACATGGGAAATGAGGGAAACCCTGCAAGTGCCGATAAGTCTAGGACGTATTCAACAGTGCCAAGTAACAATCGTATTCTGAATAGGCCCGTTACTCCATGACAGATTTTCTCTCGATTTGTCCACAGCTACTCCAAGATTCCCCACATCGCCGGCGAGGATAACCTTACAGGCAGAGACAATTCAGGCTGTTATTCTTAGCTATTTTTATCCTGGGATATCCCTATTCTTAACTTACCCGCATAAGCGATTCAGCACCATGGAAAGTCTCGGTAGGTAGGTAATTATCACAAAGCTCTTGGAATTCTTGTAACTTAGGTCTTAGGTTAGAGCCTACTTAGGAATTAAGGTTATTAGAGGAGAAAGAAATATAAACCATGGAAGGCTTTAAGGCTATATTATCTAGTAAATTATCAATACTTGCCTAAGTATTCACTTAGCTTTTATGTATTTTATCTATTGTGACTTGTCTTTCGTACCACTTATATGGAAACTTTGCACGGGCTGGCCGACTTTTCGGTGATCCACTTTAACATACGCCCCGGCCCCGGTTCGGGGCCATCGGAGGCACTTACCCATTTAGACAGTCACGATGTATTCCACGGTAATGCAACAGAAACATAACTCCTACCAAGTAACTCCGGCTCGGGTAGTGCCCTCACCCATCACTCTGGAGTGGGACCATCGCGAAGAATAAAGAAACGCTTCTCAGAAGCAGTTTCGGGGGCCATTCATCAAAGTCGTTGAGGTAAACTTACAAGACTAAAGCTATCCATGTATCTTGACCCGACCAAAGCTAACATACGAATCACTTTAGGTCTCTATTAGTACATGTTTCCTAGCATAAAAGATTCTATACCTCGAAGTATATGCTCCTAAAAATTGTGACCTAATATAAACCCTACCACGTATTATGACTTTTGGAATTTCTATGCTTTCTTGTAGGAATTTCAAAGTTAAAAACAATTCTTAAATAGTACTTAAGAAGTTTAATACTAGTGGGATTTTTTTATTAGCTTCATAATGGATTAGAAAAGAACCTTAAATAGGAGTTAGCACGGCTGTTGGCAGCTGGCAAAAACTGGTAGAGAAATCCTTTTCTACTTGCACATCACAGCCAATTCTTGTCTGTTTTTCTTAATTTATATCTTATGTTTTCTTCCTCTTTTCATAAAAACTCATAAAAACCCATAAAAACCAGCCGTTGGTGCCAGCGACATACCATGAATACAAGATTCCATGGACTTCCCAAAATGACCTTGTGAGTTCGCTTTACGAGTTCGCTTTACGAGATGTCACCCGCCGTCGTGTCGGGTCAATCGGTATCCGATCAATTGACGGTGATCATTACAACGTCTCCTACGCCTTCGGCCCCATCAACAGAACTCATATCGGCGATATTGTCATCATTTCGCAACCACTGCACTTTATTAATGTCATGTCGGATAATCGTTGTATTTGACACATACGATCGTGTTGCAGCGCATGCAAGACTGAAGAAAGGTCAGGTTACTGCCGATGGAGCCAGGACTTTTGATCAATACAAACAAAACGTTAGAGAACTCGTCCTCAAGGAGTTCAACCGCGACAACATGGGCAAAAACTTAGTAAGGGGTGAAGGACAGGCTGAATTTGGCCACAGTGTCGTTGAAACGAATATAGTCCCATTCTTGACCTTACAAACGGCGGACAAACAAATTATTTTCATAGAACCGACGAAGCGCTTGGGGTTTGGACTGGCCGTACGTTCTGCTCTGAGGCTAACCACAACGCCGTTTGTGTGGGTACAGCAACACGATTGGCCTCTAGTCTCTGACATAACATTGGAGCCGTTGCTGGATATCATGCGAATATCCGGATCTGATGTGGATGTACCTGTAAAATATATCTGTCTTCCATCCGTTCGTTTGCTATCATATGCAGGTTCAGCCCATGTTACGCATTTCCCCGTGCTGAGAGAATTGACCGCATCCCTCAGACGTAATTTCGTTGCAGAATCTGGAGTTAGTGTCCCCCTCACGCCAATGTTTTTCTGGCATGACAAGCCTCATCTGGCTTCTACCGAACATTATTTGTCCCGCGTCTTCCCAACACGTCTTTCGATGTCGAGGGGCGCCTTCATTGAAGATACCATCGGACAGCGATCGCGGAACCAGATGAAGCTGGGGAATTGGGTGAAGTGGGCTACCTGGTTATATTACCCAGATAATGGCGAGAGGTTGTGCTTGCGACACCTCCAGGGCCGCACGTGGCAAGGTGCGGAGAAGGAGTTAGAAATGAAGGCTATCTGGATGATGCAAAACGCACAGCAAACCAGTCAGGTCGAGAAGTAGACAAGACTATCTGTACTTACAGCAGTACAACCCTGACGTCGTCCCGTCATCGACTCAGGCGTTCTTGTTTGGTCACGATAAATCGTGGGATAATTAGGAATACGAGAAAGATAGGAGTTCAAGGTTTTTCAATTCAATTTTTTCTGCCTTCTCTTATATCTTCATCCATGTTTTCGAATTACCCTTCGCCCCGTCACTGCGCACCGTCGCATGTACGCGTTCGATCGA